GACAAAGTGGGAGCAGAGGGTGCCAGGGACTGTCCCCATGGGCCAGGGCAGAGCTCTGAGGCCTGGCCGGGGCACAGCCCACACAGGGAAGGGGTCTCAGCCAGGAGCAAGGTGTCACCCACCTGGACCTCTCCTCCCTCTGCTGGGGGGGCAACCAGCCAATTTACAATTCCCAATTTCCAGTCATTAATGCACTGAGCACAGCGGAGGCTGCCTCACCTCAGACTGGAGCATCCTGTGGGCAGGACTGGCTCTGGAGCTGTGACCCCCGTGCCAGGCTGCTCCCCTGCCACAGCAGCCCCCGGGGAATGGGGATTTCCAATCCCACCTCCTCCAGGGAGAGTGGGAATTCCTGGGCAGGAAGGCAGGGAGGGCAGGACGCTACCTGGAGGAGAAGCAAACATTAGTCGCTATGAAAAGCAAAACCTCCCTGCTATTTTTCCTTTTAGGAAACTTGGAAACATCTCTTTTATGACATTTTCCAGTGGTTTTGCCTTGTTTTATAGCAATTGACAATATTTATATAATGACATAAACCACCATAAAGCAGGGCAGCCATGTAAATAGGTGCACAGAGGAGGCTCCCAGGGCTGCTGGAGACACCACCCGGAGGGACCCAGCTCTGCTGAGCCTCCCCTGCCACCACAAGGCCCCCAAAATTCATCTGGGTATTGGGAGAAAAATCCCACCCTGGACATCAAGCAACTCTCCCCACCAAGTCTGTGTGTTCTCCCCTTTCCCAAACTGGATTTGGTTTTCCTTATCTCGGAGCTCAAGGAGAGCTGAGGGTTTTGCAGCCAAGGGAAGTGAAGCCACCAGGTTCTGAGGGGTAAAATCTGACCTCAGGTGTCTAAATGGAGGCTTAAAGCCCTAAACCAGGGCTTGGATGCTCTCCTGCAGCCACCATCAGCTGCTGCCAGGGTGGGGACAGCACATCCCCAGGCAGCTGGGATGTCCCCAGCCCTCAAATGGTGCCTAAAGGTAACAGAATCCAGCCCAAAGCCAGCTCTCCACGTGGAGAGCAGGAGAAAAGGCCAGGGCACCTGGGGACTCGGGAGCTGCCCACAGCACACCTGGACACCCCAAACCCCCCAGGGACACCCTCCAGCCCCTTCCCTGCTCCCACTGCTCCTGGAGGCTGCAGAAGACCCCCACCCCTGATCCTACAGCCAGACCCCTCCAGGCACTGCCACAGCCAGGGGCTCAGGAGGAAATGAGCTGGCACAGCAGGCAGGATCCTGGCCCGGGGGGGAGTGCCCGGGCCTGTCCCTCCATCCTGCTGGAGTTTTGTGCTTCCCAGGCAGCCCAAGCCCTGACTCCATCCACGGTGCCAGTGCCCCCTGGGCTCCCAGCAGCCCTGACCCTGGAGCAGCTCTGCTGCGAGGGCACGGCAGCCCCTTTGGGGCTCCAGAGGGGCAACCCTTCCCTGCAGCACCCCTGCTCTAGGACATCTCCAGGAGGACACCTCTGCTGTCCCCCAGAGGGACAGGATGTCCCCTCAACACAGCCCTGGGGCACCGACCCCCTTCTGGCCAGCAGGGACCCAGCCAGGGCCACCATCGCCCTGGGGACAGCAGGGGCACCCCCAGGACAGCGGGGTGGCCGGGAGGGGCTGTGGTGCCTTCAGGGAGGCTTTGGAGAGCAGCTGAAATGCCAAAACAATCATCGCTGACCGTAGCACCCGACAGAAGTCGCTTGGTCTCGTTTCTGTTCGTCCGTCGTGTCCGTGCCCCTCCCGCCCCGCCTCGCCCCCTCACAAACCTGTGTTCCTTTTGGGGTTGTTTTATTTTGTTGATTTTTTTTTTTTATTATTATTTCTGTTAATATCTTGAACTGTAAATGTTGTTTAGTTATGACCATGGCAGACTGCTTTGGGCGATGTTTCTTTACAATGCATACTAATATATTATGGTTATTATATATGAATATATTTAATGACACGTGAAAAAGTTGTGGATTTTCTTATTGTTTTTCCGAGTTTTTTTTTTTTTTTCCCTTTTTTTTCCCCCTTTTGTTTGTTTGTTCATTAGATTGGCTGTAATTGACCCGAAGGAGCTTGTAACTGTTCAGCACCCCCTCGGTAGAACTAAAGTCAGAAACCAGTTGAATAAACTCTTGTAAACTGTAAAAATCTCCAGGAATTTCTGCTTTTTCCCAGCCCACTGCTCAGTGAACCTGTGGGACAAGGACCTGGGCAAGGAAATGACGGTGTCCCCTCCACCCCCCGGGTCTGTCAGTGGCCCCTTGGCAGGCCTGAGGTGGCACAGCTATTTGTGACTGGCAGTGCCAGCCCTGTCCCTGCCCAGCACCCCCAGGCAGCGGCCACTGGCCCTGGGGACAGCGGGGTCACCGTGGGTGGGTGGCAGGGGGTCCCCACCAGCCCCTGCGGGCTCAGCTGTGCCCTGCAGTGGGACAGAGCCAAAACCCTCCCGGAGCTGGGGGACAGGTGGGGACGGCCAAAGTCTGGATCAGGACAGCTGCCAGCCCACTCTGGACCAGTTTCTGCCCCAGGCAGGGGCTGCTGGGCCATGCTGGCCCTTCCTGCCCATGCTGGGGCTCAGGCTCCGGCAGCCCCAGCAGGATCAGCGGCGCCAGCGCCGGTGGAAGGCAAGGGCTGGTGGCACCCTCAGCCCAGAGAGCTTGAGGGGGGAACTGAGGCAGCAAAACGCTTCCAGGGACAAAAATCCAGGCAAAAGGTGCTGCCAAGCGCTGGGGGTCAGCCCAGCTGACCTGAGCCTTCAGCAGTGTTGGGGATTTATGAATCCAAAAACATCCCGGGGCCGGAAATGTCAGATGTTTATTGCAGAGACAAATGGGTTACAAGTGCCAGCCCTCTGCTCCGAGGGGCAAATGGGCTTCCCAGATTGCAGGTGGCCACTTGTCCAAAGGTGACACGGGGCTCTGGAAAGAGGGGGATGAGGCTTTTCCCACGGAGGGCTGGACCTGGAGTGGTTTTGCCAGCCTGGTCCCAGCAGGCAGTGTGGGAGAGGAGCCATCCACACACCGAGCCCACCCCAGGGATCAGGGAATGAGAAATGCCCAGCAGCATTCCAGGATGAGGTGGGGATTTTTCCCAGGGCACTGGGGCACACACCAGACCTGCCCCCAGCACTGGGATTTTTGATGAAACCATGGCTGGAAGCAGCTGAACTCCTGAGCACGTCCTCCAGGACAGAGATAGAGGAGGTGGCAGGGAAGGTGAAGACTGGGATGTCTCTGGGCACATTCCAGGAAGATTTTTGCTTGGAGAAGCCACTCCAGGTTGGCTCCTCCACCGCTGCTGCTTGGAGCCAAACCCTGGCATCTCTCGTATTTTAACCTTTCTTTTTCTGTAGTGGGGCAGGGAGACAGAAAAGCTTCCCTGCACACAGCAGAGCGCTGCCAAATCCGCTGCTTTTTAATAAAATTCCTCACCAACACCACACGTTAAATGCTACCTAAAGGGCAAGGCTGAGATGCCCTTTGTTGGCCAGCACAGCGAGCAAGTCCTGCTGTTTCCACCCTTCCCAGGCACTCACAGGAAGAATGTGTTGGAGGATCCAGTGGGTCAGAAAAGCCTTTGAAAGCCTGGGTCAGAACAAAGGGCTGTGGAACGCTGACCAGGATGAGTTACACGTCCATCCTGTGTGTCCTGGGAATTCAAACAAAGCTGTAATTCCCTCTAGAAGTGGCAGTTTTAATTAGGAGCCCAGGCCCGTGGTCTCCTCTGGACAAAGCCCACGTTGCTCTCTGGCTGTCACTGAAGATCCACGGGGCTGCTCCAGAGCTGGCAGTGAAATCCTGCTCCAGGTTTGGAGGCTGCTGCTGAGGAACAGCTCCAGGAGCATTCCCAGTGTCCACAGAACTGCAGGAATGCACGCATTTGGAACTCCTCTCCAAAACCTTTCCTTGTTCCCAGCTGGAGCAGCCCTGCCTAAAGCTCCATTTCTAATCTGACATCAACAATAACTCAGGATCCCCCTGCCGTGCCCTCTTGAAAACCAGAGCACATTAAACCACCCCTGCTTGCCCCTCCCCTCTCTGACAGCCCCAAGGTGAAGCATCTCTCCAAGAAAGCTGACCAGGCACAGCCTGGGCTGCCCTTGGAAAGGCTTTGAGGATTTTCTCCAGCACAGCACACAGATGACCCCAGAGGAGCTCCAGCCTGCAGCCTCTCCTCCAGCTCTGAGCGCTGAGGATGGGCACAGAGCCCTGGCTGAAGCTGGAGGGGGCACAGCTGGATCTCTGGGCCTTTCTCTCCACCAAGCTCCTCTCTCCTGTGCCCTCCCTGGGAGCACAGAGACAAGGGAAATGCTCTCTGGATCCAGGGGACAGCTCCCACAGCTGCAGGACACAGCACCACCCACGGCAGGTGAAGAAGAGAAGCTGTGGATCCCTGGGCATGTTCAAGGTCGGACTGGAGGGGGCTTGGAGCAAGCTGGGCCAGGGAAGGTCCCTGCCCATGGATGGGATTTCAAGTTCTTCCCCTCCAAACCACATGGGATTCTGTACTCCCTGTGTCCCACGGGGTACTCAGGAGCTCCCTGCCTCTGCTTCCTGCACAACTCATCTTCTTCATCTTCTCCACAGCTCTCATCCCCAGAGCCTGGAGCGACGGGGTCCGAGCTGCAGCCTGCAGCTGCACCCTGCAGGGAGATGACTGGAGGTGATCTGCACCCTCCAAACCCTTAACACGGGCAGTGCCAGTCTGGGGAAACAAGAGAAGAATGGATTTGTGCCAGTCCAGAGGGGACAGCACCAGGACAGCCTGGCTCCCACCTCCCAGAGCAGTGCTGGATGTGCTGGGTGGGCAGAGGGAAACGAGTGCCAGAGCTGTGAAAGGAGACAGCACCAGGGCAGGTGGGGGCAGCCCCTGCAAGTCTGACAGATCTGACACAATGCACACAAAGTCTGACAGAAATTGATTATTTCCTTCTCCAGACCAGCTCTTAGGATATGGCAGCGTTGGATAAATCATTCACAGACAACACAAGATACAATAAAACCCCAGGCAGAGAAACTGTATATAAATGGATCAGCTTTAATCAGTATTTATTGCTGCTTTATTAATCCTGAAATCAAACTGACATGTGTAACAAAATAATTATTCTCTTGGCCAAAAGCAAACATTTAATACTTCTTTTTCATTAGTTTTGAAATAGGTAATCCTTCCTCTCAGCTGCAGAAGGGTGTGAGAAGCTGTCAAAGGAAGAGCCAGAGCTCAGTGAGGACGTTAATTGTGGTGCATCTCCCGAGGCCAGGCTGGCAGAGCCCCTGGGAGCACACGAGGGCAAAGCTCCCCACTCTCTCAGGCTGGGCTGAGTCCTGCTGCTGTTCAATTCCCATCCCTGGAGATCCACAAACCACCAATAATTATCCCTGGAGATCCATAACCCACCAATAACTATCCCTGGAGATCCATAACCCACCAATAACTATCCCTGGAGATCCATAACCCAGCAATAACCATCCCTGGAGATCAATAACCCACCAGTAACTATCCCTGGAGATCCATAACCCACCAGTAACTATCCCTGGAGATCAATAACCCAGCAGTACCCCCCCAAGGGCTGAGCGCTGACCCAGCCACCATTGGTTCTGTGCAGCCCACGGGGGCCCTGCAGGGCTGTCACTTCCCATCCTGGAGAATCCAGATTCAACCACTCCCCAAGATATTCCTCGAACAGAGAATTTTCCCTCTCAAGGAGGGATCCCGAAGCAGGGAACGCTGCTGCTCTCCAAACCACTCCTGGATTTCGGTGCTGGGAGCCCCTGGGATGTCTGAGCTCAGCGAGCTGGGCAGGGCAGCAGCACCAGCGTGCCCCCAGTGCAGGAGAGGTGGGTCCATCCCACAGCTGCAGCTGCTGAGTGCCAGAGGAAGGTGGGAAGAGTGGGATGAAATGCTGTCAGTGGGATGAAATCCTTTTTCCCACTGAAATCCTCCAGACCCCACCGAGCTCTTCAGCCAAGGAGAGCGGGTGTCTGGTGGATGCTGCCTCAGTGGAGTTCACTGCCAGCAGTGGAGCTTATTCCCAGTGATGGAAGGAGGTCATCCCCAGCAGTGGAGCTTGTTCCCAACAATGGATGGAGCTCATTCCCAGCAGTGGAGCTTATTCCCAACAATGGGTGCAGTTCATTCCCAGCAGTGGAGTTCATTCCCAGCGATGGATGCAGTTCATTCCGATCTCTGGAGTTTATTCCCAGCAGTGGAGTTTATTCCCAGGATGGAAGCAGTTCAGTTCACTCCCAGCTCTGCAGTTCATTCCCAGGATGGATGCAGTTCATTCCCAGCGATGGATGCAGTTCATTCCCAGGATGGATGCAGTTCAGTTCACTCCCAGCTCTGCAGTTCACTCCCAGCGATGGATGCAGTTCATTCCCAGCGACGGATGCAGTTCAGTTCACTCCCAGCTCCGCAGTTCACTCCCAGCGATGGCTGCAGCTCGTTCCCTGCCCTCAGAGGAGCCTCCCCGAGCCCTGGGCTCCCTGCAGCAGCTGCTCTGGCAGGATTGGGGTCGGGGTTAACCCGTGGGCCAGAGCGCGACCACGGCGATGGCGATGAGCAGCAGCACGATCACCACCAGCATCCCTGCAGGAACACAACAAGGCTCAGGCTGCTGCCTCCATCACCTACAAACGGGTTTCTGTGATTAAATTGCTCCTCCTCCTCCCCCTGCTCACCCCGACAGCCTGCACTGGTCCCTGAGCAGAGACCTGGACCCAAACCCCACGCTGGCAGAGAGGTTCCCTCTCTTCCTGACCCCACAAATCAGAATTTTCCAGCAGTGCCTGTGGGGTGTCTTCCTACCTGAACATCTGCCACAGAAACATCAAGGGATGTGTTCAATTCGCAGCCAGGCCAGCTGAGCTTTGCTAGAATCCCTCTGTACCATCCCACTGGGGCAAAGGATTACTGAGGAGGAAATGCAAACTGCAGCAGGAAATTGTTTCCAACACAAAGCACTCCTGCTTTCAGACAGAACTCTGTGCAGGGCTGGGCTTTCAGGCACGGACCTGACCTGGGGAAACAGGGATCATCCAGGCCTGGAGAGAATCCCACAGTGCCCTGCCTCAGCTCTGCCTGTGTGCCCCATCCTGCCCCAAACCCACTGATCCCTGCAGAGGTCAGTGACAAATGAGATTGTACAAAATGGGATCCCTCCCTTCTCCCTAACTCCCCATTTCTCAGCAGGAATCCTCCCCTTTCTCTCCCCTTTTTTAGAGGAAAGGAAGAAATGTTTTAGTGAGAACATCCTGGATCCACCTCCCAAACCACCCCCAACAAACAAACTCCTCACCCAGCTGGATCGCTGTGCTGGGCACTGCCATCACACCCACGGGCATCCCCTGGGCTTAAACGATCTTTTAATTAAGAGGCTTTTATTTGTGTTCAGTTTCTGCTGTGTGCAGTCTCCCTGCCTGAGCTGAGGGAAGGCAGAGGCTTCCAGGAGTGGAAAACCTGTCCCTTCCTCTCTCTGCTCACTGAGGACTATTACTCAGCCACTTACAGCATTTACAAGTCCAGCTCATGGCAATTAAAAAAGGATGTATTGAAGTAAACTCCTCCTTCCAAGCTGGAAAAGGATATTAGACACTGCTTTTTGTAAATAGTGTCATGTTTTCTGTGCAGAAACTGTTCCTCTGCCAGGGGGCCAGGATTTTTTTTTTCCAGGGAAATAAGAGTTGCCACCAACAGTATTTTTTTCTCTTATGCTCAGCTGAAACCATCTGTGATCCCATCCAGCCCTCCCTCTGGCAGTGGGAGCCATTCCCTGTGTCCTGTCCCCCATCCCTTGTCCCCAGTCCCCCTCCAGCTCTCCTGGAGCCCCTCCAGGCCCTGGAAGGGCTCTGAGCTCTCCCTGGAGCTTCTCCTCTCCAGGCTGAACAGCCACAACTTCCTCACCCTTTTAGTCTCGTATTTTTTACACCTTAAAATATATTTTGGAGTTTTCAACAGAGCCAGAAGCAAATAATTTGCCTAAATAGGGAAGAAGTAAGATCTGATAAAGCTGCCACATTCCCATTCTCTGTTATGTTTTGCACTGGAGGGAGAAGTTTTAGAGGGTGCAAATCCTTCACACAGTTTCAGTGTAACAGAGTTTATGGACTCCAGCAATTAAGAGACAACTGAGATCAGCTGCTTGGAAAATACTCCATAGGTGTGAATTACTAATGATACAGAGGGGACTTAATGGGCTGTAATTATTCTTTGACAAGTCCCAAGAAAAACTGCACATAAACCCCAAATTATTCCCCAGCAGGAAGAGGGGAAGGTGGGGGCTAATTAAAGATTGCTAATGGGCAGTGCTGAGTGAGGGAACTGCAGGGCACACTCAGGGCACTGAGAGAGGGGACAGCAAAGTGACACAAACCTCCTTCCACCCCTGGAAAAGGAGTGGCACTCAAACCTGCAGCCAGAAAGGTCAAGTGCTGTCCTTGTCCCAGCTGAGGTGGGAGCAGCAGAGCTGCCGAGCCCAGGGACAGCAAGCCAGGAGCACAGGAGTGCCCCAGCACACACACACATCTCTGAGCATCTCCCACCACAGAGCAGATGCTGCACACACTGCCCCTGAGCCACACAACAGCAGCTTAGGAGGATCTGAAGGTTTGAAACTGGCTGCTTCACTTGCTTTCCCCACAAAAGCTGTGGAGAGGATCTGACAGGAATTCTGCATTCTGAGGTCCCTGCCTGCTTTGCCTTTCTTTGCTCAAATGCTATGAAATATAAATATTCCCCTTGACAAGAAACCCTCAAAGAGACATTCAGGAATCAAAGCCATTCCTAAAGTCAACAGGAGTCGGAAGAGAACAAAGGAAAGATTCTTGTGCTAAAGGAAACAGTGCCAGGAATACAAATCCCCACTGCATCCCAGGGAAAGGTGGGAAGCAGAAACCTCTGTGCAATTACAGAGCAAACAATTAATGCAGGCTGCAGTAAATGCCATGCTCCTGAAGCTCCCTGTGCTAAAGGCTTGGGGCAGTGCTCCAGCTGCTGATCCAGCTGCTGATCCCAAATTGCTGATCCAGCTCTGATCCCACTGCTGATCCCACTTGCTGATCCACTGCTGATCCCACTGCTGACCCCACTGCTGATCCCACTGCTGATCCACTGCTGATCCAGCTCTGATCCCACTGCTGACCCCACTGCTGATCCAGCTCTGATCCCACTGCTGACCCCACTGCTGATCCCACTACTGATCCAGCTCTGACTCCACTGCTGATCCAGCTCTGACTCCACTGCTGATCCCACTGCTGATCCCACACTGCTGATCCCCCTGCTGATCCCCCTGCTGACCCCACTGCTGATCCCTCACTGCTGATCCAGCTCTGACCCCCCTGCTGATCCAGCTCTGATCCCACTGCTGATCCCACTGCTGATCCCGCTCCAGGAGCAGGGCAGAAGGCAGGCAGCACATTCCCAGCCTGCTCCAGGGCATGTTCCAGGGCAGGCTGGGGACGTGCCCGGCATTCCTGGACGCTGGCACTCACACGGTGGCACTGCCCACGCCCCCAGCCCCTGGCGCAGGGGGCTCAGCGCTCCACACCTCACCAAACCTCCTCCAAATAAAGACCCCATCTTCAGGTGCCAGACGGAAAGGAAAGGTTAAATTCCGTGCAGCTGAGGTTAACCCTGCTGCCCTGGGTGCTGGATGGCTCTGTGGGCTCGGGATGGGACACTCAGGGAGCAAACCCAGCCAGTGGCAGTGGGTGCTGAGCTGAATGCTGCTTCCAGCCCAGTAAGGAAACCCCAAGGCACGTGCACGTGTGTGGGGCCAGCTCTGCCCTGGCTCCAGAAGCTGCAAGGTTGCATCCAAGTCCATTTCAGCAATGTCCAGCTTGCATCTGGCAAACCCCAGCCCAGAAGTGGGGTGTGCCCGTGGCAGTGCCCTGGCTCTGAGCCTGCAGGGAGGAGGTGCAGGGAAGGCAGCCCTGCACAAGCCTGCACCCCCCAGCACCTGGCAGTGAATATTTCTGGGAACAGCAGCTGTCCTTGGGGTTTTCCCTGTTGATTGGAGTGTAGTGTCACTCCCAGCTGCAACACTGGTGTCTTTTATAGATGATAAAATAATAATAAATAGCATGCTCGCACTTTAAAGAGCCTGTGTAGCATTAGATTATCTGGGAAAGGCAGCTTGGTTCAGGCCAGGGAAGTTATATTCCCACAGAACTGTCTATCCAGAAGTTTATGAATAAGTTTTCTTTTACAAGGGACACGGAGCAGTAACTTTAAACACATAATTGTTGTTTTATAGGGCAGCAGAGAGGCAGGGCAAGGATGGGACCTTCAGCAAGAGGCCTGGCTGCTTTCCTCCAGGACTTCTATTTAATATCACAGCTTTAAAGAACCCAAATTTTATCTGCTGTTTCAGTGAGTTAATTTTAAGCCCGTGTTGCCAGATATATGGCAGAAACCCTGCCCAAATCCCTTCAAAGCCCTGCTTTTGGAGGCAGCAGAGAACCAGCTCGGAGGCTGGCTCTGAACCCTCTGCACATACCTAAAGCACTACTTTCACATGGCAAGCACCCCAAGAAATCCATCTTGCTGTCCTTTTACGTTCCCTAAAAAAGAGCCAAGCACTTTCTCCCCCAAAAGCCATAAAAACCCTTTCCCTGCAACGCTCTCCCCGCGCCGGCTATTCAATTTGTGCTGCATTAAGAAGCACTTGAGCAGAAATCCCACGCTATTAAGCTGGCTTGTGTGTAACTACAGCCCCAATTCCTACACCTGCAGCTCTGAACCCACCTCTCTGGAGGTTTTTCTTTATTAGTTTTGTGACAGCCAAACGTTTTCTTGGGCGAGAGGGCCGGGGAAACGCTCCTCACCCGCCCGCCCCGAGGAACCCGGCCCTTATTGCTTTTGACCTTCCTTTTCAAGTGCTCTGCCTGGAGAAATTCAACACTACAATTGTACCTCGCAGCCCTGACACCAAAATCATTGGCAGTTCTCAGAGAAATCAAGACCAGGCTCCGCCAGCGGTTATTAAAGGCTCCAAATGTTCATGTGTTGGGTCTAGAGGAGGGGGAAAAGGCACTTCTCAAAAAAGCTGAGCTCCTTGGAAACAACAACTATTGCATTATTAATTCCTTATTTGGGAGAAAGAAAAGCCCAGGTCGTTCCTGTGGAAGATGAAAAAGCTCTGGGTCTATGAGTTATTGCACATTTGGAGCTGCTCATGCCAGACTGACCCGAAAAAACCATTTATCTGAGGGAAAGGTGCAGACTTTGTTTGTGCACTTAACTCCTCAGTCAACATGATTTCACACGCTAGAAATTGCATTTTTGCGGGGTTTGGTCATGTCAGGTTGCAGATAGGGTTCCCTGAGGGGTTTGGTGCTAACACAAGCTCTGCCCAGGGCGTGGAGATCCCTCAGGTCACTGGCAGAAGGCTCTGTGGGCACAGAGAGGGGCTAAAAGCCAGCGGGGTGGGAACCATCCCTACCAGAAAACAAAGGTCAGGTCAGCCCCAGGAGCAGCGTGGAGAGAGTTTACACCCAAACCTTTGTGACTTCAGCAATCAAACAACCCCAAAGTTCAGGTCCCAAACCCCACGTGCAGTGAGATAAGTGTTTCTCTTAATCCATTACTGT